AAACTCTTCATAATAAATGATTAACTGAGCCGGCGACTAACATTTTATGAATTTACTTGATTAAATTTGCTAACCGTCCACTTCCTCTATTCAACCGGCGATGTCTCCAGGCCTTTAATATTTGGCGGCCATCATGCCCAAACGTATATTTTGTGTTCTTCCAAGCGCTAAACTGCTTTTTTGAAACAATGTTATAAAAAAAAGATAACAGCCAATCTTAAACCGTGACGCCATTCTAAGCGGGAACGTAATCATGAGAGGAGGCAACACTGCTGTTCCATTTCCCGCGTAATGAAATTTTGCGTGCTGCAGCGTGCTGCGTTCTGTGGTGCTGCCGCGAAAATTGTTTACAAACGGTGTCGAGTCTCGCCGTGCGTTTTCGTACCGGTACATCGCGTCATCTAAGGTTGCAGCAGTCTTCAGGACAAAGGTAAGGCTGAAGACATTTCTAAGCATTCTTTCATTCAACAATGGAGAGGTTTTCACTTTCAAATGACGGATGGTGCACGGTATTCGGTCGGTCAGCACGAAACTTCCGAAGGTAGCTTATCTTGGCGCACTTTCTTAGTTATCGGCAGCGCAGCACGGACTCTGGTACTTGCGCTTATGCGCACTCAAATTCGTTGGGCAGGCTGATATGCGTGTTGTTTGATGTTGCGTAGTAAGGGCCTTTTCAGAGTGACCTTACACAGGGCAGCGGTGATAGATAGGTCTTCTGTCCTGCAAGCGGGTCACCTCTCTCCAACTTTCAATTACCTTTTTGCCGGCTATCGGTGGACTGACCTCACACGACAGTTCCTTGATCCTGGCTGCGTTCGTGTAGACTGTGTTATCTCACCAAACGAGTTTTGAAGGCGCAAACGTTGTCGAAAGATGATCGTGTGACGTTCCATTTAATATTTGAAAATGTAGTTCAACTAAACGTAGCCGCTATAGCTGCAAGGATCGCCGATGCCGGTTTCGTTCCCATCCGGGGACCGATCTCTACACACACTCTACGAAGTGGGCTAACGAGTAGCTTAACGGCAGGCATCACGAAGGTGGATGATAATTAATTGCGGCTTGTGCTGCCTCATGTGACAGCTCGCTTTCGGATGTAGAATGCTATTCTATTCTTTTATTCATAACTGCACCTAATCCTCCAAGTACAGAAAATTGTATATTTGCAGTTTGTCTGGGGTCACACGTTGACAAAGTATGAAGGTTTGATTCCCAGCCGCATTCCTTCAATGTGGTACCAGGATTGGTATGGGAGCGCTTTGAAAATCCACCGTTTTTTATTTTAAGTTCTGGAAGTGCTACTACAGCGCCATGTGTTGCTTTCAAATGTTAAAACCCACAATTTGATATTTGAAATTTTCAATCATTCTTTCCAAGTAGTGTCAGCCAGCTTTACTACTAAACGAAATAAAAAAAAAACAGTGGTTGTACGATGAGGATTTGAAAGGAATGATACAAGAAAGATGCGCTGTTTTTGTTCCTTCTCTATATTTGTCGTGTAAGCATTCTTGTTTCCTTTTGATATTTAACAGCTACTGGTTCAATGCAGTTCACTTCTGTAGTACCAAAGTTTGGAACTGGCAAACACATCTGCATCTGATGTTGCTTTTTGTTGCAGCTGTTTTGCAAAGCTTCGCTCTGATTGGGGACACTGTCAAGGCGAACACAGTTGCTTGATGGCACTGTTTCTAGAACTTTTGCTGCTTGCTCAAGTTTGTCAACATAATATTTGGTTTGCGTTTTGATCTGCTCACTCTCACATCTTTCAGCTTTGGTGAGGGACATGCTTGTGGCAGTTGTGCCCTGTTGACAATTGGTTCTTGAAATCAGTATTTTTATCATTAGTGTCACTTCTTAATGACAAGATGGATAACCAAAGGAAGAGAAATTTCACCCATGGACATCCAGAAAATTTTGATGCAGAGATTTGCAGGCATAAAGCAAAGCCAGATGGTGCACAGCCATGATAACAGAAGTTTGGCGGGAGTGACCTGCAGTATTAGGCTTATAATGTGAACGATGACTGATGTTTACCGTTGCAGCATTGTGACAGGTGGTGCAATGTGCGTGATATTACGCAGGGCTGCCTGTTTCACAACTTGTGCCGTTGTAATCGAGGATGGACTACAAGCGGAAGCAGTCGGGGCGACTGAGTTCCTCGCAGCAGAGTGGATCAAAGAAGTCGCGCAAGCAGAATGACGACGACGACGAGCCGATGGATTTTGAAGCAGAGCTGGCGCTCATGGAGCAGCAGCTCAGCGAGGAGCAGGCGATGGACGACGTTGATTCCCAGGAGTCCGTTGGTGAGTTTGCTTGGCGGTATCATCAGCTCCTGCATCTAATTTTTATTCGCATACATGTTTTGAGTTGTCAAAAGTAGGCTGTCCTGTAATGTACACCTGAGGGATGACTGGATACCAAGATTACATTGTGCAAAACTTTCTTGGTGAACATTCAGGCACAAAAGAAAAGTTCTATTAATTTATCGGTCTTTTAGTCTCTTATTGTATTGGTCTAGTAGGTGTGTTGGTGTATTAGCCAAATAAGTCTATTAGTATGTTAGTTTAACCTCCTCAGTCCCAGGAATGTGCCAATGAAAAAAGCTTTTGCAAAACTGTATCATTTGACCCCCTGCCCTCGAAAAGAAACGCAGAAAAATTATGAATTCGAAAAATTGAACTATTGTCTTAAAATCTAATGGTACCCATTTGCGTACTCCTGATATTTTGAAGCTTCGAAGATTTAATGCAACAAAAATATTAGACTGAAAAGACTCTCACTGTAATCTACAAGGGGTCCACAGATAAAAGAATGCACTATAGACGATGTCCTTTACGCTACAACTAAAAAAAGAAGCCTTTGCTTATCACAAAGAGGCAGGCGAGTGCTCGCGCTATACGCATTCTAGCGCTTGTGCAGTGCTCAATCATTTTCGTTCGTTCGTTTTGCAAATATGACTAGACACACGGCACCACCCCTCAGGGCTTCGCGATAGCAACTCATCCGTATTGTGTTGAGACAAGTTTGGACACGCAAATATTGAACTGTGATGATCTGTAGTCTTTAAAACAACGGTACTCGATTGAGTACTAAGTGACCTAGGAGGTTAAGGAATGTGTTGGCATGTAAGCATAAATATTGATGTTGCATTGGCAGCAGTGATTTTCAATCAGATACATACGTAAACGTACACAATAATCACCTTTACATTACGAAGGCCATATGGACCTGCTTGTCATTATATGTAAAGGTCCATGGGCCCTTAAACTACCTAAATGCTTAATCAGGAGTAGTACTGTCTTAATCTGCTGAATGCAACACATTCAGAAAAGTGAAATTGGTGCAGTTACCGTGTATTAACACTTCAAGTATTTTTATACATTTAATTTTGGCATGATCAGGTCAGCGATCCTCATTTCCTGAGCCTTTGGTTCATGCATCTGTGCTTGAAGACATTCTTTCAGTGGAAAATTATTACCAGATGTAAGACGTCATGGATCTACACCTACTAGTCCTGTTGTTTACGTAACTTGTTACCAGAGCCTGAGCACAAATGTATACACACATCTAGCGACACAGGAGGGCAGTGCTGTTAGTTTTGCCGCTGAGATTGACTACTCTCAGAATCTTTTAAACTGGTCTTATTTAATTCCTCATGTCAACTGTGCTATGATGTAACAAAGACATTTACGGACAAACCTGATAAGTACTAGTTAAGAATGAATTTACTGTAATAAAAAGCAGAGCTGTGGCTCTTAGTCAAATGCATTGAACTGAAGCACAGGTTGGCACGGTAAGGGTTGATATAATATATTTAGTTTTATTGACAGCAGAATTCTTTCAGTATCACTACTTCTTCACTACAAGAATGGTTTCTCATGCAATCGTGTTGTGCATAAGATGATTCTATTTGTTTATCAGAAAATTTGTCACCTTATGTTTGTTCCTAAATATATGCTTCTTTTCGTTCCTGATATTGTTATGTCATGATAGGGGGGGGGGGGGGATAGGCTTGCCCCTTTGTTTTCGAGTTTATTGTGATATCTCTCATGCACAATGTTGATATATGTCCTGTAAAGTTTCTTTACATCAGCAAACCAAATTATGTTGTGCTTGTGGCTTCAACACATGGTTCGAATTGGCGAGGGAGATGGCTCTACGCTTAGAGAGAGCAAAAGTATACAAAGTGATGTACAATAGGTAAAAAAAAAAAAAAAAAAAGTCTTGTTGTTTCAAGGACATTTTTCTTCTGCAACTTTTTGACCTTATGATGTGAATTGCAGTGATGCTCAAGGCGAAGGTTCTGCCATCACTGTCATTGTAAGGTCCCAACGGCAGTAAGATGTACGTGTGCAATATGTTGTAAACTTGAGATGAAGCTTGCATTGGAAGCTGAAAAGGATTGAACCTTGGTGTGTACGTCTTCTCATTTGCAAGTGGGGAAGGAGAAGGAGAGGTGGACGCTGAGCAGAGATATCAAACTAGGCATCTAGCACTCTGCAGAGTGGCAGAATTATTGAAAGTATGTAGGTGTCATGGGTGTGTAGTCAGAAATATTTTTAAAGACGATAGTCTTTCTTGGGGGACCTTCGACGCAAAACTTTTGGTCTGTCTGTCTCTCTGTCTATACATTTGTCTGTCTGTCCACTCTTAACGGCACCGGGTACTTAAAAACAACCAACCCCATCCGCAGCGCCCACCATCGTTGCTCAAGATTTAGGGTTCAGACTTGTGCGATTGCCAATCAAAAAGCAATTACTGCACATGTCTGGGGCAGTAACAACACAAATGTATTTTGCCTGTGCACTTTTTACTAGAAAAGGCATACATAAGTAACTTAAAGCACCATAGCGCTTATCACGCTGCGCTGACCATGCCTCGCTTGCAAGAAAAGGCGAGTGTATTTAACGCTTTGCTAAGACTAGACGGTGGTGGCACCTACCCGTCGCATTGCGTTCTACCCCTTATCACCTCTGAGACGGGCCGCACACCTGTCTCAGAGCCATGCGTTTTCCAAAAAAACTGCCAGATGGCGATCATGTCTCACGTGTGACGTGACTTGATGCGCTCGTTCGCCTCCGCTGCATGCTCGAGGTACTCTAACGCAGCGCCTCCAGAATACCATTCACCGAATTTCTTGTACAGAACATCAAATAAATGTTTTGTTCACTCTCTCCACACGGAAGACTATCGTCTTTCGACGACATTTGCAGATAACATGCAGGTACGTGGCCAATTTTTGTTTTGGGGGACTCAATTGTGGCTACACCCCTGGTATGTGTACACTTATGCAAATTATGAGGATAAATATAATGGTTACTGTTGACTGTAATAATAATGATGTAAGGTGAGTGCACGTTTCCTCTTCTAGTCAGCCCACCTGTACGCAGTGCGCAGGAGGGTTAAGCCCCTTATCTTGAAGCTAATATTCACCAGGTGCAAAAGTTCAGCGAGCCAAGGTGGCTGATCACGTCCTAAGCGTTATCTTCTTGCGTACCTTTTTTAGCGTTGCGTTATTTAAAAGTTTTTGGATGAGCAGACTAATGCAATTTTACTCCCGTCTGCGCTACTCTTTGTGCTGGTGAGATCTGCTTGCCTGCGTGGATGTGACACTGTGCTCATTGATCTTATTAGCAAGTGCACCTTTATTGCACCATGTATGACTGATAAAGCTACCAATCTTACTTTATTTACTTGTTTAATATATTTTGGTCAGTGACTTTTCACTGGCAAATTGATTTGCCTTTTGTCTGAAACTGTGACTTTTTGATTTTTGTGAATAAAGAAGAAAACAAAGATGAGTGTACACACACCTACATGTTTTGGGGTGGTGTTCAGTGGAGTTCGTGAGAAAAATTGTCATGCTGCTTAGTCTGTCTGCTAATGCAATTTTACAATATTAATATGCAAATTTGTACATTCTGTACCTTAAAAATAAGTGCCTTGGTTCTGTAATTCAAGAGTGTTTGTTGTCACCTTGTGTGTAGAATGTTCTGCATTAATGTTAAACTATTTTACAAAGTATGGCATTCTTCTATATAGGGAGGCATTTTTTTCGTTTGAAAAATACTTATAGCGCGCAGGCACGTTAGGTTCCTCCTGTTTCCTTTACATGATAATGAACCACTTTCAAAAACTAGATAAATTGCTCTGTAGACAACCATCGCTAAGCTTTGATGTATAACACAAATTTCCTATGGTGCCTGGTTGCAGGCTGATTGAAGATATGGTGACAGGCAATGAGGACAACAAATTTAAGGTCGACAAGTTGGTGCCTCATGAATGGAAATGTTGTGAAACGGTTAATTCAAGAGAGAGATTGAAGCGAATGTTTTTTTTTAGCGAAGTCCTTTCTTTTCCATGGCACATATTCGTAAAGACCAATGTGTTTAAAACCTCCAAAGAACCCCGTGAAAACATAATCTCACCAATTTTAATGTTTTTTTTAGGGAACCCTAGATGCTCAAGAATAATCGAATGCCATCCTTTATGACATTGGTAGTTTGTGTAGTTTACAGTTTATGTAGCAGTTTATGGTTAGTTCATGTATATTCAGCTCTACAGTTCAAGTAAAGCCTGAAATGGCCTTTAGGTAAAAGCCTTAGTGGCAGTGCAATAGTGATGGAAACCACATGTCAGAATCCGATGAGCTGCTTGGTCGGTCACATCACATTTAGTGCTTATAAGGCCTCCTCTGGCTTCACATACCCATTCAGCCTTTCACAAAATCCACTAAACTCTAGCTTAGGGCCTTCCATCATGCGCGTTTTCTGTGGTACCCCGTAGCCGTTAGTAGACCAAAGCACACAAATGGCGATGATTAAATTTTACTCACATGAATGCGTAAACATGAAGGGAGGGTGCAGCTCACGTGTCTCGAGCCAAACTTTAAGAGTCTCATGGGACTTTATCTTTGCTGCAATTTTAGGACAACCTAGGGGATCTATTTTTGATGCGTGCCCATAGTCGTGTCCAATTTGACAATGTGCACTCCGATACTCTGAAAAACCGTGAGCCATGACATCATCCGGCTCGTGACATCAATGCACAGAACCTGCCAGCATACTCTCAGTGTAATAAAAAAGTTGGCTAAATGTGCACTGACAGGACACTCGAGAAGTTTTAGCTACATTTCCCACATGTCTCAGAATGATGTGAAAATTGCGCACCAACCTTTGCAGGTGTTATTGGCGGGCGGTTGCATTAAACCTAATTGAAGGGCTAACGGGATCAGAGTTTCTGCTGGGCCTCCAAGATGTGCTCCCAAATGCGAATATCCGGAGCCTGCTTTGATTGCATCGAAGTTCGTTCCGTCCCTCTTACTTGTGTTGAAAATTGCGAAAGCTTCGTGATGTCAAAACAATGTTGGGGAAAAAAGTGCAAACAGAGCGCATGCTGCTTTCTGTGCTCCAGCTACTCTGCGGCTTCCAATGTGGACAGTTCACTAGGTGAACCCATTTCGCATTGAGAGTACCTCCACATGTTAATTTTTTGCTGTTCAGTGCATTCTATTGTTGTTTTGGGTTCATACCTTCATGTGTGCTTTGTTCTCGCTGCTCTGTCTTGAAGCCAAAGAAGCTCGCTTTTCTTCCTGCTGCGTCCGCGTCTCCTGATGCCAGTGTATTGCTGAGTTATGCCAGGTTGGATACCATAGAAGTAAGCTGATTGGCTTACTTTCTATTCCAGTTTATTGCCATCGCATTCAGTGAAAGTTGGATTTTTCAGTCACGCAAATTCTGCAGAGATAAAGCTAATGCACTGCATGCATGGCCCGAGCCACACTTTAAGAGCTCACATGTTGTTTTTTGTACCGGTCTATGCTTACGGCAAAGTTTTTTTCGCGGCCACCTTTACACTAGATGTACTGTACAAAGCTTTTGCCTCTATAGATAATTCTTTTTTGTTTACTAATCGTAGCTGTTTAGTGGCTGATTAGTTACGCTACAAAGTACATGATAGTTTTGGATCTTGGCCAGAAGGGTATGTTTCACTAGGGGCAAAATGTGTAAACCACATGCGTACTTGAGTTTGGGTGTACATAAATGAAACCTTAGGTCGTCGAAACAAATCCAGCATTCAGAGTAACCAAGGTCTTAGTTTGTTCGTATTTATTGTAAAAAACAGGGTGTGCGGACATGAACACAAGAAACCCAGAGTTCCTTGCTACAACATGCCTCGTAATCATACTGTGGTTTTGGCAAGCGGAACCCCAGTATTTAATTGTAGTTTTCAATTTCTCTTTGCGTAAAGCAATGGGGAAGTCACATGAAAAGCAATCTTTGATTGCAGCTGGGCCAGCCGACGTGTGCACGAGCATGCGGTGGGCAAGGCCTCCTCTGGATACACCATGGGATCCTTTGGCACGCAGCCTCGAGTTCCAGCAGCTAGACTTGGACCATTACTTGGGCGAGCCGCTCCCGGGCATGCCTGGAATGAGCCGTGGCCCCATCCCCATCGTGCGCATGTTTGGCGTCACTGATGATGGACACAGTGTGCTCTGCCATGTACACGGTTTTCTGCCCTACTTCTACGTCGAGGCACCTCCGAACTTTCGCAAGGAGCATTGCTGGGCCTTCAGGGTGGGTATCTTTGTTTACGCACTCCTCTTGACTGATCTGACGGACAGAATTTTCGGTGAGGCAATGGGATTATGGCAGATTTGATTGTCAATGAGAGCTTCCACTTTCAGCAGAAAAAATCAGCAGCTTAACAGCCAACAGTGAAAACCTTCAAAATGTGACTAACTCCTCTTAAACAAAGTTGAAGAGATCCTGATAACCTATTTATCCGGTCACATATTTTTCATAATGGAATTTATTCATAAATCTACAGTCGTGTACAACTATAGAAGGCAGGGGCATTTTTCGCTGGCGGATGTACACGAGCCTCCACCAGTAGACTTGCACTTCAGGTGACGTCATGCGCCGGACTACACTTTAGCCGCAGTCCCAGCCAACGGAAAACATGCCTAACATGGCCGCCCTCGCTTCGAACTGGGCCGAGTCCCGTTGACTGTGTGCGTCTCCCTTCGTCAGAGTGAATTCGAATTTTGTGTGGTGGTATGTCATGCCAGAAATATTATTGTGAGTTTACGATACACAATTTGTGCCGCGTGTGTTTGTTCTGAGCCGTGAGTCGGCGAAGAGAGATAGCAGCGAACATAGGTGACGCTGCATTGCGCTTCGTCTGGAAACAAGATCCCGCGGCAACAAACATTGTGTGTGTTTGTTTTATGATGTTTGATTCGCACCTAAGTGAAGTTATGACGAGGAGAGTTTGCCAAAGCCTGGTATCTACCGTATTTACTCGTGTAATCCTCGTACTCGCACAATTCTCGCACCTCTCATGTCGCCCAACAAAAATAGGATTTCTTTTTTTTCCTCGTGTAATTATTGCACCCCCGAAAACTGCTGCAATAATGTCGTCTGCTCTTTCCAGCCACTGATGATGATAGCGCACGTCATCTGGCGCCATCTCTTAAGCATCAAGCGTACTATTGCACAGAGATTCAATCCAACTCAAGTGAAGCCGAAGTGGCCAGTGCGCGTTGCGGCGTGTTTTGTATGTTGCGTCGGTAACCTTGTCAAGTTATGAGGCGATACTAAAGCTGTACGGCTGCTTTCAAGTTGCAAGTGATAGATAATGCACTATAAAAAGGCAACAGGGCCGCCGATATGCCCTTGGGATTGATGGTAAACTTTATTTCTTAGGAAGGAAACTGCAGACAATTCTGTTAAGTAGCCATCAGCCCAATACTGACGTCCCTTGCTTACCTTTTGAGGGCTCCTGTTGAGCGACGAACGCTACCGCTACGCCTGCAACGTCCGCAAGCTTTGCGTATGGTATTCTAGTTCTCGACTATTTGCTTACACTTTTTGTGTCTCAATTTAATCTTGTCTTGTGTTGAACCTCTGTTTTTATTGTTGAGGTAAGTTTTAATTAGTACTTCTTAAAGCTTGCTGTTAGTTGGTGTGAGAATCCCGATTTGCGGCCACTTCGTTTTCTTTTTCGTTCTGTACGTTTTGGTAAATAGTTTTCCCCGCGTAATTCTCGCACCCCCCACCTTTTTATCGGTTTTCTGGCAAAAAAAGTGCGAGGATTATGCGAGTAAATACGGTACTGTGAGCAGCGGGTGTATTTGTGTATTGTGCCCCTTTGTTTCTTGTCGGCAAAGTGATGATGCAAAACCGTTATCAGGGTAAATGAGAAAAGTGTACGCGAATGAAACCAACCTACGAGTTTCTCAACAGAAATGATTTGTGGCAACAAGCTCGAACGCAAAGATTCGTTGGTGTTAGCTGAGCGCGCAAACAACCGATCGGTGGTGGCAGTGTGATAAGATAGCCAAGCTTCAAGCAGCGTCGTTCGAGTCTTGTGTAGCACCGTCGATCGATTGCTTTCCACTAATTCTAACTATCATTGATTAACACGCACTGCTTCGGAGAATGTCATTGGATTATTAACGGTCAGGCGTTTGGGAGCAGTGTTCGTTTCCTTAATGTTAGCCTCAGTGCTAATATAAAATTATGACTGATACACTGGTGCCGTTACAAGGGAGCTTGGCATGAATTCGTACCACTGTGTGGCTTACAACTCTTCGCTCACTGTACACGCCAGCTGTAGAATGCCTGCTGTGCTCGACTGCTGTGCAAGGCCAGCGCTCGACTTGCTTTCTCACAACACAGCTTAGCGCTGCTTTTAGATTCTTGTGATATGTCCCTACTAAAAAGTTACTATGACAGTGAAGGCAACAGAGCCAATATGTACATTAAAAAAAAATACGATAATGTAGGCACAGCTGCTTGTAAACTGACTCCTAATAGTTTTACTCACATCTGCGTTAACTGTGTGTGCGTTTTTTGTGTACATTTGTTATTTTGTTAGTAACAGAATCATAAAGTGTGCTCCGACTACTGCTATTTCACTACGGGGCACGTCACATTCGACGGTGGCTGCCTGAACGAGCATTTTGGGCTTCACTAAGCTAAGGATGTTTTATATTTGTTCTCTTATTTGTATTACTTGTCTGAGCCAGATAACCAAAATAAACAATGCAGCCACATGACTGTGCTTTGGCATGCAAGCTGCTAAGAGTGGTTGTCAGTTTCATGTTACTGCTGCTGTTTCACCAGCACTGGCTATGATAACACTTCAATTTTCGGTGCAGATTGCTAACGGAGCAATAAAGCCTGTCAAACTCGATGGTGGCTGCCTGATTGAGCATTTTGAGCTCGCCAACAATAATCCGGGTTAACATCAGTGTCTCAATTCAGATATGTCAGCATCGAAATGTGTTTCTATGCCACTTCTCAAATCGAGCGTGATGTGTGGGGGACGTTGCTTATCGAAATTGAACTTCTATGAAAAGAATACGCCATAAATGGAACTGCTTATTTGTTTGAGAGGAACGAAATGAATCGTTGGCTCTTACAAACCCACCGAGCAAAAATTTGGTAGCCCTAATAAGGGCTGTTTTTTCATTAATACGAAGCTTCTATGCTTCGTCAAATGGCTCAATGCCAGAGAACTCGCAGTCGTCGCTTTCATCAGTGTCATCTTCACCCAGCTGGATGATGATGGGTTCAATGTGCTCACTCCTAGACCTGTCAAGTCTGAACTTTGCCTCCACGTCCATCATGTGCTGAATGCTCTTCCTCCAGTCTTTCGCAGTTACCTGTTTGATTTTATCTCTCATGATGGTCTCGACCGTGGACAGCTTGAAGTCGCTGTTGTCTGCAGCGACACCATTTTTGACCTTGGCCCACACAAGCTCGATGGGATTAAATTCGCAGTGGTACGGCAGGAGCCTGAGTACAATGCAACCGGCCCGTACAGCTGTGTTGTCTACGATGTAGCTCAGAAAGTGACTTTACAGATGCCACCAGCTCAAGCAGCTGCTTCTTTATCATCCTTTTACTGTAGGTGATGTCCTTGCTTGTGAGCCACTCCTGTATCTCTTCCTTCTTCCAGGCCGTCGTCGGCGATTTCTCTTCTCTCCGGCTATGGTAAAGTGCATTGTCTAAAACAATGACGCTACCAGCTGGCTACTTATGCAGAACGTCATTGAACCAGCCCTCAAAGTCATTGCTGTCCATTTCCTCACCGCCATCCTTGCTGCCTATGTGCGTTACTATCAGGCACTGACCTTTCCCAGAAGGTTGTTTTAGATCCATCGGCAGGCCATTCGCTCGAGCAAACAGGCGTCCGCGCTTCCTCACCACAGTATCTGCCCACACGATCGACCGAGTGTGTCCTGCTGTGACCCATGTCTCGTTCAGGTAGAAAATCTTTCGGCCTTACGCCCGGTAATGCTCCATGTCACGGAGGTAATGCTTCATGTCACGGAGGTAGCAATTCCGCCAATCGGTGATGTCATCCCGGTCTATAAGCAGCGAGTTGCGGCTTCTCTTTTCATGCTTGAAGCTGATATCGGCAAACAGATAAACGCACAGTACTCCGTCTTATTGATGGCAGTTCCATACGCTCCGAGAACTCGGCAGTTATCTTCTTGACTATTGGTATCTCGTTGCGGCGAAAGAAATCGTGCACACATGACCTCAGCGCGCACAACCTGAAGCTGTCAAACTTCGCGCTGCGACTTCTCTCCTCCGCATTGCTTGGGCACTTTCGCGAGGGTGTCGTCAGTTTGCCACTTGAAAAATGCGAAGCTTTAACTGCCTCCCTCACCCTGAACACACCCCCTGCAGGGGCATCTGCGCAAGCAGGCGTTTGGGTCCGTGGTGTAGCGACACCACGGACCCAAACTAACGGGGGGGGGTTAGGACTCCCTCTCACGCCTAGCCATGCGTGGCTGAGCCGTGTCCGGAGAAAAGGGGATCCTGGGGGTTGAGCTGACGCTGGGTGCTTGGACCTTTAAGGGCCCCCCGGCAGAGGCAACACACCCCTTTGGCCCCGACTTCACGTAGACGGCACCCCTGGGCTGACCCACCCAGGGGAAATCGGCAGTCGCCTTTTTCTATCTCTCTCTTCCTACATCTTCGTCTTTATCTCTCACTTTTTATCAGTCCTGTCTTCTTCCCTTTTCCATTTACTTCCAAATTTCCTGGCGGCGAGGGATAACCTTGTGTAGTTGCCCAACCTTGGGTAGTTATATTCGGTTATAATGGCGGTGCATGGCTGGCGTCTCCAAGTGTTTACTATTCAACCTTGTAGCGTCCCCTTGTTGGGCTCGGTGGTAGGTGGCCACCACCACCGAACTTTACGCAATCTGTATGGCCAACTTTTTCCCTCCCTGAACGCCGCCCGAAAAGATGGTGCATCGAAGAACCATTCCTTTTTCAAACCAGAGCAGTCTTTCCCCAAGTTCCATATCGTGCATAGTCGGAAAGAAAACAACAGTCCGAGCAATCTCACCTTTTCTTGTCTCAAAAACACTCACTAAAACAATCAGCCAAGGGTATCGTGTAACGAAATTGGGAAGCGGCGACCTCCTTCAGGAGGTTCGCGACAAGCTCCAATACGACAACCTATCTAAACTAGTAGCGTTTGGAGATGTCCCAGTTTCTATAGGCCTCCACAGATCTTTGAACACAGTTCGCGGTGTCATTTCTGATGACGA